ACCATTTAAGACAGAAAACAAAGTGCTTTCTTATTAAATATCAAAGTTACTTCTAGTGGGCAGCATTGTTTATGAAGCAAGTAGTCCTTGAAGGAAGGTCCTTTGGGTTTATCCTTGAGGGTAGGTAGATTTTAGAAGGTAGAAATGTTAATTGAGGTTATTATTCCAACAGAGGTACTATAATGAAAAAGGTATAGAATCAGAGTTAATTTGGCCCACAAGAAGTAGTGGAAAGGAGAACAGAGAGAAATGAACTGGGAAAGGTAGATTAAAGCTAGAATTTGAAGACCTTTAAACTAAAGGCTTTATTTAGACAGGCATTGGGGAGTTTTGAAGCGTGTTATACTACAAAAAGATATAATCAGAGCTGTACTTTTATTGGGGCATGGAGGCTACTTAGGAGGTTACTTCCATGATTGAGGTGGGAAACCAGGAAGGTCTGAACCAAAGAAGTGACAGTGAGGAGAAAGAAGAGTTGTGGAGACAGACTCCACAAGGATGCAAAGTGACAGTCACTTTCTGGGGCCCGACTGACTTGGAAAATGAAAACTGAATGGATAAAAGAAAGTGTTGAGTTATTTTGGGTGTAGTGAATTCCTCGAGCATTGGGAAATGTCAAGAGCTCGGCAGTGGTATTTGCCACAAGTAGACTGTGCTGTTGCTTTTTATCGATCTATAGATATAACCTCAGTTTGTTTCTAAAAATTGTTTTATTTTGAAAACTTTTCAAACTTGAAAAATAAAAAACAACCCTACAAAGGCTGTTTTACTGTTTCAGATAATTCAAATCAGCGCTTGATACAAAGATGCAGTTAGCAAGAAAGCCTTTTAGCCTTCTTACTTTTTCCTCAGTACATTTACTCCCAACATCTGTACTACCCATGCTGTCCAGTACAGGGTCCATCAGCCACATGTAGCTGGTGAGCACTTAACAATGCAGCCAGTCTACATTGAAATGTGCTATAATTACAAAAATAGATCCCAGATTTCAAAGACTTGGTATGAAATAAAGAATGTAAAATATCTCATTAATAATGTTTTATATTGATTACATGTTAAAATGATAACATTTTGGATATTGTTTCAGGGCTCCCCAACGCCACCCACATGATAGGTGATTTGCTAGGACCAACATACATTCATCCTAACAGCTAAGATTATTACAGTGAAAGGATCAGTAAGGGAAAAAGATTGTCTGAATCTGGAGAAGTCCTTTCACAGGCTTCATTATGCTCTCTCCTTCCCAAGTGGGGCACACTGAGTATGTTCATTTCTCCAGCAACCAGAAAATGCAGTAATATGTAAAATGTTCCTGCCCAGAAAAGCCCATTTAGAGATTCAGCACCCAAGGTTTTATATTGGGGGCTGTTCACATCGGCACTGTCTGCCTTGCGTATACCGAAATTCTAGATTCACAGAAGGAAAGCAAGTATTTGGCATAGATGACATTGTTAACACAAACTCTAGGCACCGTGAACCACCTTATCAGTCAGGTAATAGAGGAAAGCCAAGTTCCCAGATGCCAGCTGAGGGCCAGCCTTGCACACAGACCCTTCTAAAGGTAGCAGCCTTGGTCCTGCTGCATTAACTTTTTGCACAGATATATTAGGTTAAGTAAACTATCAGCAGAATTAATTCCACCAGTTTATTTTTAAAGACTTTTAAATATGGCTACTTGTTCACATTCTTAACTCACATTATATTTATTTTGGCAGTGGTCTAAACTTATATGTAAAATTCTTCTCTAACGTGTTTTAGCTGTTTTCTCTATAAACACTAATGATTTCTCTTTAATACAAATCTGATAAGTAAACAGGTGACAAGCCTCCTTCAAGTGATATCTTTACACTAGTCACTAAAGGTCAGACTAATTGAAGGCTGCAGTAGACTTAGCTCCATATCCTAAATGTAGCTTTATTACCCAAGAAGAAAAAGAAAACCTCCCCTCCAAAAAAAGTGTGTGATCAAAATAAAGGATTTTGTGAATTTTTATAAAACAAAAGTCCCAGTTTAAGAATGTCCATTTGATAAGCACATTTGAGAGCTCCAAACAGTACATTTTTACATGCTTATTAGTTCAAATTGTTAAACTCTTTTGTTCTCCAAAATGTTAATGATTTGTAATTATTATTAATCCATCCATGAAAATATTCCTGAGGAGGTTTACATAAATGGACTAATTCTACGTGAGAGATCCACTTCATTTCTACTCATTGTAGATTGCAGATGTGACTAAAATAGTATAACTTGGCTAAAATGAATGATACAGAATAGCAACCAGGATATGTTTGACTTCTTCCCAAGCACTGAATACTTATACCTCACTCTTTAAGAAAGGGAACGGTTTTAGGAGAGTAATTTCCAGGACTAGAACTGTGAAAGCAGCAGAAGATATTTTTGTTAGAATAAATCCATAGTGTGATTTTCAGTGACATACTGCCCTACGGGTCCCCTGCAGACCTAATTGAAGGAGAGAACCATCTTTCACCATCATTGCCACATCTCATCAGAAGTAGAGGGAAGCTAAAATCCTAACCCCCTCTTCTCTCCCACACCATGACCCATAGTGAGTAAAGGGGAAAGGAGAAAGTCCTCAGGCTGTAAGTAGAGAGTAGTTCATAACAGCAGTATTTTTGCTGTTATCTTTGTCCCTTATTTATAAAGACTTATAATTCAGCCATTTTATATAGTTTTGAATTGAAGCATGTCATTAGCAACCCACGTCAATAACTCATACATTGATTCTCATTATAAACAGCTATGCTTGTCCTTTGAAAATCCATAAAGCTTAATACATTTGTAATTTTAAATATACTTCACATTTCTGCAAAACGAAATCTGACAATATCAGTGCTGCTCTCTAATTGCTTTAAATAATGTGGAGAACAGTTATAAAGAACTCTATGGGGGCTTCCCTGGTGGCGCAGTGGTTGAGAGTCCGCCTGCCGATGCAGGGGACGCGGGTTCGTGCCCCGGTCCAGGAAGATCCCACATGCCGCGGAGCGGCTGGGCCCGTAAGCCATGGCCGCTGAGCCTGCGCGTCCGGAGCCTGTGCTCTTCAACGGGAGAGGCCACAGCAGTGAGAGGCCCGCGTACCGAAAAAAAAAAAAAAAAGAACCCTATGATAAAAAACTAAGGGTATTTTCCACTCACTGTTCAATCAGTAAGAAACACTGCAGAAAACCTGTCTTTTTTGCCACTTGGAACTATGGAGAGCCATCAAAGTACTGTCATATAATCATATAATGTTCTGTTGATAAACGTTAAGAGCTGATGATTCAGAGCTGAGTTTCACTCAGAAAATCAGAATACCCAGAAGCCACAGTGCTGTTTATAACGTCACTCACCCTGTCTTGAAAATAGCTTCTCTTCCCTGTATCCCCATTTGTGAACTGGATAAAATAGGTAAAATAAGAATTCAACATGTAATATGATATAGCATATAATAGAATTATGGTATGATATATAAACAAAAAACAAAACTCCAGTTTTTAGAAATGAGGAATTCAAAAATGTTATACGTTCTCTAGGACACTTGTTCTATTTTAAAGTACACACATTTGTGTAATATGATTTTATGATATATATGACACAACAGAAGTGGGTACACTAGCTAATTTTGTACTTGAATAAAATACCACCATACATCTTCATTGGCTTTTCTATCCTTAATCTAACAGCTTATGTATGTAACTAATACTTATTGTCCTTATGATGAGCTTTGAGACCATTAAGGTTTTTTTAAGAATTATATCAAATATGAAATTCAATGGCATATATTCCATATATCTTTACTGTTTAAAACATTTTTTTTGAAATTCCAAAGAGTGCTTTTTTTCCTTTTTGTCTGTGGTAATCCATTCATCCATCAACAGACATTTGGGTTGCTTTAACCTTTTGGCTCTTGTGTATAATGCTGCTATGAACAGCAAGTATCTGTTCGAGTCTCTGCCTTCAATTCTTAAGAGTATATACCTAGAAGGAGAATTGCTGAAGCTTATGGTAACCTATATGAATTTTTGAGGAACTGCCATACTATTTACCACAGCAGCTGCACCATTTTACATTTCTACCAGCAATGCACAAGGGTTCAGTGTCTCCACGTCTTTGCTAACATTTTCTTTTAACATTTTGAAAAAATGTACCAGGCTATGGCTCAGTGGTTGAGAATCCACCTGCCAGTACAGGGGACACGGGTTCGAGCCCTGGCCTGGGAAGATCCCACATGCCATGGAGCAACTAAGCCCGTGCGCCACAACTACTGAGCCTGTGCTCTATAGCCCGCAAGCCACAACTACTGAGCCCACATGCCGCAGCTACTGAAGCCTGAGCGCCTAGAGCCCGTGCTCCACAAGAGAAGCCACCACAATGAGAAGCCCGCACACCGCAAAGAAGAGTAGCCCCCGCTCGCCACAGCTAGATAAAGCCCATGCACAGCAACAAAGACCCAACACAGCCAAAAAAAAAAATATATATATATATATATATATATATACCGGGCTATATACTAGTTTCATAAGAACCATGGGAAATACAGTTGACCCCTGAGTAACAGAGGTTTGAACTGTGCAGGTCCACTTATACGTGGATTTTTTTCAGTAGCAAATCCTAGAGTACTACATGATCTATGGTTGGTTGAATCCACAGATGAGGAACTGGATATGGAGAGGCCTACTATGGGACAGGAGCATCTGCACGTTTTGGTGTCTGCAGCGGGTCCTGGAACCAATCCCCCTCAGATACCAAGGGATGACCGTATATTCATATTGTCATTACACTAAAAACAGTCTTTTGGTGCCCAAACTAAGTTCAGGTTTACATGAGTCAGCAACAGAGAATATTGGCCTTTGTCTTATTGTTTGTTTAGTACAGAGTGTGTTCACAAAAAAGCCTTTGAGGTAAGATATTGACTTTATAAGAGTAAATGTACAATAAATCACAATGAGTTGTAATCTGTATGCTTTCAGTTCTTAGCAACAAAGTTTCCTTTTTTCCTACAGCTCCCTGCACAGGCAGCACTTTCTTTTGCCATAGCAACATGTGCATCAATAATTCTTTAGTCTGTAATGGGGTTCAAAACTGTGCATACCCTTGGGATGAAAATCATTGTAAAGGTGAGTCTACTGGCAAAGGCCAGCCTTTTTGAGAGAGGAGTGTCCATTGCCTTTCATTAAGAAAAAATTAAAATGTCTTTTTCTACAACTGTGCTTGGCATAACTGCTTTGGCTGGAATAAACACATATAAAATAAATGTTCTCCTTAATGGATCATAGACCTCTGGGATGTGGTAAAAGTGAAGAAAAATATTTATTCTCACCAAAAGCATTTTTTTTATAGACTATGTTTTTTACCTTAAAGTTGTTCAAAAGTCAATCATGGTATTTCCTGCCCTTATTTTCTTGGTCATTTCTATTGTAAAGATACCTTATTCTCATAATAACTTAGATTGTAACCTAGAGTATTCTTATTTTTTTAATTAAATGAAAATACTATTTAATAAAAATCAACTGATGGATTCAGTCTTACAATGTAAAAACAGAATCATTATAAGGACTGCTTTTTTTATTCCATGAATTTCCTACACTATATTTCCAGTATATACTCCCTGGAAGATAAATATGGCTTGTGGTAATACTAGCTGAATGTCTACAAACTGGTTATCAAATCACTGTTTCAGTACTAAAGTTTATCTCCCTTTTATTCTCCCAAGAGTTCAATAAATATCTTACTGTGGAAAGTTAATGTAATCTGATATGGCTATCTTAAGTACTTGAGAGAAAGTATTTTCAGGTAATCATTCAAAAACAGTAGACCATGATAACATACCTGAGTGGGTTAGTCAGATCATTTTCGTTATCTCTTGCTTATGGCCATCAGTAGAAAAACTATGGGTATACTCAAAACTACCATAGAACAGAAAGCTAAACTTGATAGAACAAGGGTATTTTGTTTTGGCGTTTTCTGTATTCATGTATTACTTTGATCTGCAAGCTATGTATTCATGTACCTTCTGAGTAAAGAACCAAGTCCTTTTCCTTTTTCGTGGTCTGTCTAGCTGCGTTACGATTGGTTAGTTTAACCAGAAGTCGTAATGGGATTATTTTGTTTAAAAACCTAATTTTAAATTGCATTTTCTGTGTTGTATTTGAAAAAAAATACCGAAGTGTTCTGCTTTACTTAAAAATACTTTACCAATTTGTGACAGGACTCATGAACGAATTTTAAAAGCCTCATCGTTTTTCTTTCTCTTTTCTGCAGAAAAGAAAAAAGCAGGACTGTTTGAACAAATCACTAAAACTCACGGAACAATTATTGGCATTACGTCAGGGATTGTCTTGGTCCTTCTCATTATTTCTATTTTAGTACAAGTGAAACAGCCTCGAAAAAAGGTCATGGCTTGCAAAACTGCTTTTAATAAAACTGGATTCCAAGAAGTGTTTGATCCTCCTCATTATGAACTGTTTTCACTGAGAGACAAGGAGATGTCTGCGGACCTGGCCGACCTGTCGGAGGAACTGGACAGCTACCAGAAGGCGCGGTGCTCCTCCACGGCGTCGCGGTGCATCCACGACCATCACTGTGGATCTCAGGCACCCAGCATCAAACAAAGCAGGACCAACCTCAGTTCCATGGAACTTCCCTTCCGAAATGATTTTGCACAACCGCAGCCAATGAAAACATTTAATAGCACCTTCAAAAAGAGTAGCTACACTTTCAAGCAGGCACACGAGTGCCCTGAACAGGCCCTAGAAGACAGAGTAATGGAAGAGATTCCCTGTGAAATTTATGTCAGAGGGCGGGAAGATTCTGCACAAGCATCCATATCCATCGATTTTTAATCTTCTACTGAAGGTGACATTAATTATTAAGTACGTACGTATGTAGCCTACAGAGCACCCATACTGTTTTCAGCAGCCAACCCTTTTCTCCTGTCAGAGCCAGGAAGATCTTCATTTCCCATTAACCTAATGTAATGGTGAAGTTTTTATTATCTCAGGCAGTCTATATATGTTAACCCAACCTGGGAACTTATTCCATTCAGTAAAAAACAAAAAATAAGCCTCTATTGCTCAGTGTCCTACAAACAAAGCACCAGTTACATAGTAGCATTTGGAGAGATGAGGGGTGGTGGTGCGTCAGGCTCAGCTGCCTGCGGGTCTTAGCAGCAGGAAGACCGCTCCTGATTGATACAGCTCTGTCAATGTTTTGATCCCACAATAAGTTTAAAAGTAAGATTTTTCTTCACATTCCTTTTATTTTTTTCTTTTCTCTAAATTTAATTTGTTTTGTAAGCCAGTAATTTTACCCTTTCAGTTTCTTATATAAGTGGTTCATGTATCACACGTATTTCAATATAGGCATTTGTTCTAGAATTTGTCAAAATATAACTAGTTACTGTGATAAGTGCCAATTAAGACACAGAGTTGTGTTTTGTCCATCTGTTTCTTCTTGACTAGTTTCTATACTGCTGCCTTTTAATTACTGGATCCTTAGTCTTTATTTTCTGTGATATGATTTAGCACCTTTAAGTCATATTTTGTCTTAGTTATACGAAAAAGTTTCATAATCCTGGGATGTATGCACCATTGCCAGTTATACCTAAAAACTTGACAAAGATTAAAATTTTTAGAAATGCTTTGAAATTTCCCAAGTTTTATTACATTCAGTGATAGCCCATTCATTCCTGTGAGCAAAAAGTCATTTACTGCATTTTGGGGGAGGCCTATCATTATATTTATTTCCAGTGTTTCTCATTACTAGATCTGTGTTTTGTATTATTTTTATAAAAAGATTATTTTACTCCCTTTGTATTGGTTTTCTTGTAGGATATGGTAACCAAGGTTGTTTGAGAGTTAAAGGAAAATGCCTAAGAAACTGTATAAGCCTTTAGATTGCTTCTTACTTGGGACAGTACGTTTTTCTAGTTCTTACCAAGAATAACAATTTCCACTTTTTTTTAAACTGCACTTTTGACCTTATTTTTTTTTAATGGTATATAAACAATAATTTATAAACATGATATAAAAACTCATTGTGTTTTTTTAGACTTTTGATATTATTTGATACTGTACAAACTTTATTAAATCAAGATTAAAGAGCTACATGACAGATTTCTTTCAGTGTTTGCATTAGTGACTTTGTATACAAATATGCTGTGATGGAACTGTACACTATAATTTATTGTAAAGACCTTGGTAATGTGTACATAAGCGTTTGTTTCCTCTTGTTATTGCATTTAGTTTATAAATTTTTCACTGTGTGATATTTATTGTTCTAAATCACTACACAAATCTGATATTAAAATATACATTGTTACATGATTCTTCAATCATGTTATTTATGGCACTGAGATTTTCGATCTTAAGATATATATGGAAAGGAATCCATTTATTGAATTATAACTAAAAGATAAATTCTCATTTTTAATATTTTTGTAGTTAAATTCTCAATGAAATGAGAAATTAAAGTTTCACTGGATTTCATTGATTTTTTTAAAGTATCACATCTGTATGTTTTCTCAGATTAATGAAAACTGTGACCTTAAACATGATACATGTATAATACTCCTTCAAAATGCTTATTATATCACATTTTTTATTTTTAAAAAAGTATATACTATCCAGAAGATAGGAAAGCCTACAAATAGTATTGTCTTGATTTAAGTTTTTTTAAAGTCAGCATAATTTCCTGTTTTAAAAATATAACTTGGGAAGGTAAAAAGACTTACCAAGACTTACCGAATGTAGTATTCAATGAACTAATGAACCAGAGCCAGGTTAGGTAGCTAAATTCTTTCAGTAGCTGAAAAGGCATTTTAGTAGGTAACACACCAGACAGTATTCAGTAAATCCTTAATAAAATAATAACTGTGATCTCATTCTTAATGAAAGGAAAATTATCATATTTTCTATGTAAAATTATATCCATTAAAAAAAAACTATTAAATCCTCTTTAACATCTATAGTAGAAAATAATACAATATGCTTAACTAGTCACTTGTAACTGTATTTTTTTTTTTTTTTTTTTTTTTTTTAGTGGTACGCGGGCCTCTCACTGTTGTGGCCTCTCCCGCTGCGGAGCACAGGCTCCGGATGCGCAGGCCCAGCGGCCACGGCTCACGGGCCCAGCCGCTCCGCGGCATGCGGGATCCTCCCAGACCGGGGCACCAACCCGCGTCCCCTGCATCAGCAGGCGGACCCTCAACCACTGCACCACCAAGGAAGCCCCTGTATTTTTATTTTTGAAATTTGTATCTTGCTGTCTCTTAAAAGGGTATGAAGAGGCCTACAAAATACAAAGCCTTTAAAGAAGACATTTAACATTTAAAAAAGCACAGAAGTACATGATTTCAGGCAACTCAGCAAAGCTTGGACAACAAATTTGATTCTAAATTTTCTTGCTGCTAAAACAAATGAAATCTTTGTTTTTCATGGTAGAAAACTCAAACTTATCTGCAAGAGGCTAGTTTTCTCTTAAACTAAAGAAAGGAGGGTCTTCATATTGAACGACATTTCCTCGTAATTTAAAGAAAATGCAAAATACAGAGAGAGGCCATAATGGTAAATCTTAACCCAGTGAAGACACATCATCTCAGTGTAGTCTAGGAACTAAAGAACCAGACGATCAATAGCTAAGCTAGCCTGAGACTGGCTTATTATTTTATTTTATGTTATTTTGAATTTTATTTTATTTTTTTATACAGCAGGTTCTTATCAGTTATCTATTTTATGCACATCAGTGTATACATGTCAATCCCAATCTCCCAGTTCATCACACCACCACCACCACCCCCTCCACTTTCTCACTTTAGCGACCATATGTTAGTTCTCTACATCTGTGAGACTGGCTTATTATTATTCATTGAACTATAGGTGGGTATTAGATCTCATTTATTTCTTAGTTAAACATTTGGCAGTATATGATATGAAGAGAAGAGAATGAAACTATAAATTTTAGGCATTATTTCCAGAATAATGCTAATTGCTGTATATATAGTCTTTCATCTTTGAGGTAATGAGAAAACTTTGCAAATTGTTTACTAATGTGAAAGCCATAAATTTTAGTAATTTAAGAAGAAATTTAGCCATCTTGTGGAAGTTATTACACCCTTCACAGAGAATATAATACCCAGTGTTAAACATAGAACAAAAAAGGCAAATCTGGAGGAGAGAATATCTTCAATTCAGAAGCAGCATTAGGTGCACTTGTACAGCATTGTCATTTGTGACACCACTGATCCCAAATTTAACACAAGGTATTAATCCCCAAGTGCCCTCAAATTTCAGGAAACCTACAAATCCCAACATCTGAAGTATGTAGGAATAAAGTATGATGTACCTTTTGTGAGGGGAGATGTTTACCCCAAAGGTTTAACAAAAAGCAAAGGATTTTCCACATTTCAAATCACAAAAGAGATCAAAAACACTCCTTTTATTTTGACTTGTTAATAGCTTGTGTCAGTGTCTTTGTCACTTTTCATATGATTATTAGGCATTGAAAGAACCTCCTAAATGCCTGAACATTTTTATAGTTCTGCTATTGTCTGGTGAGGACGCTTCCTTGTTTCAGGAGTGTGTCAACTGATGAACAGGATAGGAAAAGCCTAGTTGTGACTACAGGAATAATTCTCAATCAGAGAAGAGTATGCTCTCTTACAGAATGGTGTCTGCTGTATTGTTCATGATCAGAAGGAACCTTGAGATTTTGGTTTTTTTTTGAAGATCCAAGAAAGATTATCTGCTCCAACTTTATTAATGAGAAGACTGAAGCACAGAGAAGAGAAGGCAGTGCCCACATCTCAGAGCTAGTCCAGCGCCCTTTCCTTGCTTTCTGCTCTCTCCCTGCTTTAGCTGGCTATATGTTTTAAAAGCCACTCTAAACAGCAGCCCAGATGTTTCATGTAAGGCTGTCAATTACTCTGATTTAAAATGTAATTTATTCTACAACAATTTCTTTCAAAGCATTATATTTTACTTTTATTTTTCCTTATGTAGCACTTTGTTATTCTACAATTTTGTTGCCACGATTTCTTGGCACCTGCAAATTCTACAAGACAATTACTGTGAATTCTTAATAAACAATGTTTGTTAACAATTTATATCCTTGACACTGGACAGAAAGAGCTTTCAGTGTTTTGCTTTTGTGATCTTTTTTAAATCTAAAGGAAAAAAGTATACTCTAGAAATTAAAACACTTGTGTGTGCTGTATCTCTTGAGTTTGGAGAATGATTTGAGTTCTGAGCTAAATAATATGACAAGTTGACCTCGGATATCTCTTTTTTAGCTTTCTGCAAAATCAGTTGTCCATGTTTTATATACCTCTACTAATAACAAACTCGTAATTCTGAATTTGCTTTTTTTAAAGCAACTTTTCCATATATTTCTGTGATTGGTTTAATGACTATAAAAGCCCAGGAAGCTAATGACTGGGGTGCATGTTTAGTATGTACTGTCTTGAGTATATTCTTTTGAAGCAATGATTTTTCTTTTAGAAGTGAACTTCCAGACCATATAAGACTTCTCATATGCTTAATACTCGATTTGATACATCACAGTAAAGAATTTGACCCTTGAACTGGGAATAAAACTTGTGTTTTGATTTCCTTGCTTGCCTCAATTTCCAAAGTCTCTAGAAGTCGCAAAGAATCCTAAATTCCTTCCCAGGCAAAGTTGGCATTTCCTATCTGTTCACTTCCAAACTAAAATAATCATAGTTACGATAAAAAATAAAAGCTTCCTCAGACTATTACACCATTTTAAGTTTTCAAATAAATCTTCAAGTGAGGAACTTAAAACAAAAAAATAGAACAAGATGGTCTTAGGTTGCCTGCAGTATCCAGGCTGCTGCCTCTGGTCACTGAAGTGGCCCTGAGATCTTCCACAGAGTGGGCTGTCAGAACACGTTGTCCTTTTGAGGTACACAGCCAAGCTTAGTAAGGGTGGGTGGGTAGACCTCATGAAAGGTGTACCCTGAGAAGAAAGCAAAGAAAGCCAAAAACTCTTGAGTCTTTCAGTCACACAGATCAAGGAGCAAAAGGAGAAGAAAAGAAAGGTAGCTACCACTGGTCTGTCTCCGCAAATAGTTACAGAGCAATTCTACTTTTTGTGTTATTTAGGATCAAGAAATAGCTTTTATCTAAAAGTGGTCTCACCCTCCAAGCTTTGTCATACTCTGTAACATCTGGTGCTAGCAGGCCACTTGAGCCGGTACCTTCTTTATTGAAACATTTTGAGTACCTGCTG